CTAAATAGGATTGCCTTTTGCACATGAAGTAGATAAGTCAAAGTGTACAGCACATCAGGTGTACAGAAATAGAAACACAAGTACCGGTATACTAACAACAGATTTTTTTAAGAAAATCGTAATTTATGCAAAAAGTGTTATCATGATTGTTTTGACCTATTGCTCTGACTGCTAATTTAATATAATTTACTAATACAGTTAGTCTTTGCTATCTCAAACTCTAAACTCTTGAATACTTTGGCTATCACAAGGTGATTTGTAAGTCCTAAATAAATGGATTTCAACATCTGATTCAGATGTTATGAACCTTCAGGAATCTTTTTTTCTTGGTCCCACTGAGTTCAAGATAATGAGGTTTAACTGTATTTTGTTGACTTGTCACAGATGATTATTGTCAGTCATGCAAATAGAAATTTAATGTTACAGTAAAACATGCTTATACAGAACATGCTTAAAATGAATTGCTTATAGTAAAGCAAGACTTTTATACCACGAGACTTTAAAATTCATTGTAAACATAACAGATATAACAAATTATGCTTATAACAAAGCAAAAATGTATCCCTAGCACTTTGTTATAACCGTGTTTACAGCAAAATACGAAATAGCGGTTAAGTTTTCAATTGCTTGCTGGACAGCTCAATAGGGTATTTAATTTGGTCTAGCAAGTATCACATTAGGTTTGAATCTAGGTCACAAGGTTACTCAGGTGTATCATTAGATTTTACAGGTAAATGTGAGTTGATTTAAATGTTGTATGAAGCCACATGTATGGGCCAAAGTGTTATGCAGTAAATACATGCAATAATTTTCTTTAATTGAAAATATTTTTTGCAGAATTAGTGAATGACAGCCCCTCTTTTCTGTTCTTACAAAAGGTATTGTTTAACAAAGTCAGGCAGTTAGCTCCCCACTCCAATTTTCCCACTTTATGGATTATAATTTATACATAAACAGGCACATACATGTAATCAGAATAATATTATAAATACATGTACTTGGAATGATATGAATAACACATATAAAATGTATTAAATTAATTATAATGAACATTTCTACACCCATCAAATTTCTCTATATTCATGTCTGTTACTCTCTGAAATAAATTCTCTGAAATTTGAATTGATTTAGAGCTTGTTTTACAAAAGAACTTATGTATATATGACTATGATTGGGTACTCCTGCTATTTATTCTATTCTTTACATTGATTCAATTCTTACTTTATTCTTTCATATTTTAAAAAATAACATAGAGGTAACATTATAAAAGCAAATTCTCACAATTGGAGAATTATTCAGAGATGAGAGTTAAGAACTTTTAGTTTTTATATATATAAATTTATTCTAAAGTAAATTTATCAAAATTATAAAATCAAGCCAGTGAGTTTATCATGGATGATGAGATTTTGATGTACAACAAATAGTGTACTCAAAGTTTTGGAAAAACCAATGTATTTGAATGCTGGATTAAGCAATGTTAAGCAGTTTAATCAAATGGGTGCTGGTGATATTTTTTACTAACATTTTGTCCAAAATAGAAATTTTACCCTCTAATATGAAATTACTTTTACGTTATTATGGCGTCGGGCTTGCCCGATCGTCATCTAGCGATCAGTCAGGTTTACGCGACCGCACGTGTCAGTGGATGCATCCGCAATAGAAAATATCAACAACTGTAAACCAATTTCTTTTAAAACGTTCACAATGAATAATAGCTTGAATATAAAATTAAATCAATTGTATCTTCAATTAATACTACTTCAAAACAACGATATTATGTTTAATTTTTACGCAAGAAAACCGTTATGGTTGTTGCGGATGAATTTCTACTGAGAGGGTGCGTCGAATGACATGAATCACATTTTGGGACCGATTACTGTAATACAAACAATCTTAAATACGGTAAAATAATTACAAAATAAACACGAATACAACAAGACTATAAAGATTGAATTTCTTAATCTTAGCCTTACTTTTACGATCTTCAATCCAATTTTAGCCGAACAACCTATGATATTGACCAGTAATGCCAGTATTACTGTATTTATCCATTTCCTCCATTTGTTTACCGCGCCCTTATTGTAAGTCGATCGTACTTGTAACATTAGAGTCATGGTTGTAGTTAAGATGCAATCACTATACAACAGAACAACACTCTGACAATGGCAATTAATTAAAATAATTTACGAAACCCTTCATATGTCTTCGATTGACTGAAAAGAAATTAGATTGATATAGACATGATAGAGGATGGACATTTCTGACGATGTCTGGTCAATTCGAACCCTGACTCATTCGGACCAGGACACAAGGCTATCAGGCCCTATACTGTATTTGTGTAAAGACTTTTTTTAAAAATTTCATTATTATGTTACCGGAGTCACTCACTTGACCTATCTGCAGATCTTTTGAAATTGTTTTTCTTGTTCAACGCCATTGAAGCCTTTCAGGCTTTTGATTTTCATAGATTACAAGGGGTTTTTATGGTGGAAGTGACAAGACTTGGAAGGAATTAGAAAGGATAGTATGCAGAAGATGTACGCATTACTGAAGAGCTAGAATACAATTCTACTGAAAAATATTTGCAATTAAAGAAAAATATTGCATGTATTTACTGCATAACACTTTGGCCCATACATGAGGCTTCATACAACATTGAAATCAACTCACTTTTACCTGTAAAATCTATTGATACACCTGAGTAACCTTGTGACCTAGATTCAAACCTAATATGATACTTGTTAGACCAAATTAAATACCCTATTGAGTTATCCAGCAAGCAATTGAAAATTTAACTGCTATTCCGTAATTCGCTGTAATCCATTGCTCTCTCCCACTATGAACATGTAGTCATCAACTGCGTTCATAGGACTATAGATGCAACTTACTGCTTCTGCTATGAGTGCAGTTGCTCTATCTAATTCCTGAAGAACAATCTCTACTACATTTATATAGTGTGTCTAGAAGTATTTTTTTATGAAACATTTCGTAAAAGGAATAAAAATAAGTTTTTAATAATATTCTTTGAGAAAAAAGAAATTCAGAATAATTAAAATTGCTGATTTATATCTTTAAAAATTTAATTTTGGTCAATGTATTTAATTGTATAATAAAACTTTTTAAAAATTGTAGAAAACTGTCCTATTCTTAATTTTTTTTCTCTCTCCATATTTTTGGTATATTTTTGCAAAAAAACGATAACTCTTCACACTTGGGTAATAACATTCAGAAAACTAGTAAAACTAGTATATCGACTTCAAGAATAATTTCAGCTATTAAAAATAAATAGAAGAACTAAAAAAAAATAGAAAAGCATTCTGGAGTAATAATCATTATAAAAGCATGATCATCATAGTGTTTAAAAATTGTTGATTTTTGTTAGTTCTAGGGTTTCAATAATGTTGATTGATGACGTCACAACTGCATAAAAACAAAAATTAAGAGAATGTGTTGACGGCGCTGCTTGTATCCAGATAACTGTGTTTGAGAGGGAAATACTTTATAATTGTTTGTGATTTATTAGATAAAAGTATCATTGATCAGGTGTACTGATTTTAAAGCTGTATGTTTTTCATTACTAAAGACTAGAAGCCGCGTCCTTATGTAAGTCAGGATTTCCTCCGATATTTTTGAATAAATCAAAGAATGCAAATATAAGTAATAAAAGCGCGCATCATAGAAAATATGCCAGCAGAGCTATTGCTATTCATAATGCCATGTTCACTGAATAACGTTGTTTATTTCTTAAATGATTGCATCAAAGGCGGTAAAAATTAATATGATTTACAATTGACAATGTACCCTTACAGTGTAAACTACAGTGCATAAATACATGCATTCTAAAGAATGAAGATGTTTCTACCTGTATAATGAAAGCTACATGTTCATGCATACTCCATTATATTTTGGCCTCTACAATGTAATATATATAAATGAAAGAAAAAAGTCATTAATGATTACCCAGTTGTATGTACGTGCATTAAGTACATAAAGCTAGTAGATTCTTTGTAGATAAATATTGCACCTTAACCTGTTCCCAGCCAAAAAGAAAACACATACACATCACATCAATTGAAATAAATAGAGAAATATCATTCCATAAAGATGATTCTCTAAATAACAAATAACAATTAAATTAATACTCTCTGAGTCTCAGAAATGCTTAGCCTAGTATACTTCTTAAAGTATCAAGACTTGCTACTTAAAAAAGAAAAGAAACAAAATGCAAATACAGGGCTCTCACACCACTTTTTGGGACTGGGGCCGGGGCCGTTCAAATTGGGAAAATTATCGTCATTTTGGGAAAAGTTGGATAACACAAATTCATTAAAAAAAATCCTCAAATTTTGCTTTTCTAGCATTTTATCATCAATGCTAACTCTGGTTTGAATAAACAGTTAAACAGAACAAACATGGGTACGTAGGCTAATTTAAGAAAGTACATTACCTTTGTCATTACTATCTTTGAGTGTTGATATTGCGGTTATATGTCTTACTGCGTGACAGTCGCTAGTCACATAGTCCCGAATTTCCTCGATCACATGGGCAACTTTGCTTACCAATACAGCGCGAGACTGAACATGCCGAAGCGCGGGTATGTTTCTAGGTGCAGCTTACTAATGTTTAAATGAAATGTCTATTTTTGAAACCAAAATGCTGGTTTTTGTCGAAACTACATAACGATATACTCTGCACTCATACATGTAGTTGTATACATTTTTGTAAAAACAATAATCTGGTTCCCCGAACCAGTTTAAGAATGCATTTGGTGCGAACTAATAAAATAGTAGTACAGTTTCACTTTCATTTGCAAATGTGTTTTGTTGGGGATTTTTTTTTGCGATTAGGTTTGATGGACTTTTATTTTTTAATTAATATTTTACTCTGGATGGAAATTGGGAAATTTACACCTTTCTTTTGGGAAAAAAGGTACCTTTTTTGAATTGGGAACGGGGCCGTTGAACGGCCCCAATTTTAGAGAATCGAGAGCCCTGAAATATGACATGAATCATATAAATAAGCTTTAGAAATCTTGGTATGAATATTGCAAAAGCAGTAAATGTTATATTACTTCAAGATTAGCCTTAATAAATTAATTCATAATTAAAAAAAATGTTGAACATAAACCAAACATACAATGTATTTTGCTGTAGATATTTAAATAATATTAAAATAATATTATTATGCTGTCCCTCGTTGTGTCACATTTTCTTAGTTTTTGCTGACCTCTATACATCACAATTAAGGTAAGGAACTTATGACATCATTTCCTGTTGACTGAGCATGCTCTGTTTCTATGGAGCTGTTGGTGACTCCACACGATAGCGACAGACAGGACATGTTGCAGACTACAATAGAAGTTGTGTAATTAATTATTGATTTGAATTAATACAGTCATTTACCTGTTCATTGAATTTGGTCTGTTCCCCAAATACAACCATCATTTTAGGTCTGTGGCAAACATCAGTTAAATTCAAATTTGATCTTGAGAAAATTCTTTTTTTTTTTTGAATTTCAATGATAGCTCAAACAAACTAACTTGAATCCATGTCAAAATTATACAAAACGCTTTCTGCATTTTAAGATAATGCCCTCTACCTTTGTAAGCCAGGCTTTAATGCAGTGAAGATGAAACAAGTGATTGCAGGACAGATGGGAAGTGGTATCCATGACAACAAAGGAGGACAAACAAATGGAGCAAGGGGCAAGGTCATCTGTAAAAATAAATAAATCCATCATAAAACATGTATAATGCTTACACTGTACTGTAGAAGCACTTTTTCAAAGCGTATTAAATATAAATGTAAACAATAAAGTGACAGTCTAAGAAATCCATATAATTTTCCAATTGAGATTCCACGGAATTATGACCCTGTGGAAATACATGTAAGTATGTCTACAGTAAAATACAGCTGTATATTATCAATATATTCCTGAAGAGAAGGATTGTCAAATCTTTTGGACAGAATATGGAATTGTAATACATTTTACATAAAAGATAATTAATATACACATTCTTGAGCATTTTTTTACTAATTGATTCAATTCAACATATCTTACTATAACATACGACTAAAAATTAATCTAACTACGTATATTGTTGTGTATTTATTGGCCATACCAATTTGGTGGGCATTGACTGTGTTGTAAGGAAGGCTTTCAATGGTCGATGTAGATGCAGGGGGCGGGGCTTGTTCTGTTCCACCTCCAAGGTTAATATCTTGTAGCTGGGCTATCATTCTCTGTAATAAAAAGAATTCAATAATGTCAGAAAGTGACACAGTACATAAAAACCCCACTCCACTTATGAACATACATGTAAATAGGAGATACATGTACATGTATTGACTAAAAATATCACTCTAAAGTTTTATGTAAACCATATCTTGACTGCAAATTTTGCAGAAATTTATACATGTATATGTCTTGATATATTGTAAGAAAAGCTTAAGGATACACCAAAGGCTTTTTTCAAAATTTTTGTCAATTTTGAGATTTTTGGCTAAGAATTAAAACAATGCTGATCACTGCTTTATAATGCATGAAAAATTCTTGCTGATTATTAAATGGTTTTTCTATTTATTTAACAATAATCAAACATAAACACTAACACATGTGAATGTGCCGTTATTGAAGTTTCTGATTTGGTCTGTAACTGCCTGCTTCTGAAAGGAGCAATAAATCACTGTGACCACTTGGGGAATTCTTCACTAGCCACACAGAGGTTATCAGTAATTAAACTACAGGGGCTCTAGATTTAGGGAAGGAGATCTAACAGGTCACTAATGACCATGAAATAGGAGGTGGAGCTTAGCTCTTGCCATTTTGCAGGGAAATCTTTCTGATTCAGATTTCGATCCTATTGTACTTAATTAAAAGCACCTAAATAGAGAAAAGACCCTGAGGCTCCCATTCTTGTGAATATGCATAGGAAATATGGATAAATGACAGGTATCCAAAACTGAATCTCCAAGGTGTCATCTATTTCTAGCTTTGGTAGAATTTGTTGTGTAATGGGTTTTTACCCTCTACTGTAAAGAGAGATCAGACAGTTGGTGGTATTATTTCAAAGGATTCAGCTCCCTTGTTTATTGACTGATTTCTCTGAAAACTGGCCAGAATGTGTCTCAAATGTGTATTCACAAAACTGTATCTCAAAGTTTTGATATCTTGCTCAGTTCTCGGATTATTGGTGGAAATGATAAATTGGTAACATTGAAAGACAAATGGATATAACTTTTGAATAGGAAGATTTATCAAAAATCTGAGATAGTTTTAAAGTTCAATCTTTAATCTACATTGAGACAAAATTTTGACTTTGAGAGGTGGAATACAAAAAAATTGATTTATAAAATATAAATGCACTAATATTAACATTAAATAAACTCTTTAATAAGATAAAATTGAAAATTTAAATTAGGATCATTAAATAGTAAATTTAACAAGCTTTCAAATGACATATACTTTTAATGTGTTATCTTTGTTAATGAAAGAATTACAAGCAAATTAGATTTTGCCCTTTGGAAACCTTTGGTGTATCCTTTCATGAAATTGATCTTTATATTTAAAATAAGGGAAGTAACTAGATTTGTACCCCCAAAAAACTAAGAAAACATGAATCAGATATGCATAGTGATTCTTAAAAAAATATGATTTTGTCTATATGCTGCACTTCTCCCTTTAGAACTATGGATGAGCACAAGTCAGGAATTTAAAAGTAGAAAATTAGGGTCAAAGGATTTTTAAATTATCATCATTAGTTGTTTCTGAATAATTAAAAGTTATTAGAAGAGACATTAGACTTCTCTGCTACCTCAAACATGGCCTCTAGCTGTTCTGAGTTTAATGGAGGCAGAAGACTGAACCTATAGACTCCCTCCTCTATATCATCATCCTCAGGGTCAGAGGTCACTGAGGCTCCCAGGGGTGTTCTGAAATTTTACAAAACAATCACAGTGAATTAATCCAACACCTTGAAAGTAATGTTGAGGATGAATACATGTGAATAATTGATTATGAAATGTCATTAGCTTTTAAGTACCTAAAAACACATAAATATCATTTTCATTTTAAGATACAATAGCTGTACAAGCAACTCAAGTATAACAAACCACTCTCATGTACATAAAAGTTATTTTTTCCAAACACAATCTGTTCATTAATAATGGCAAGCAATATGGCTGAATATGCCATCCATCACTGACATACCTTTCACTGGAAAGTTCTTCAGGATCCCTATTTTGTGTATGAGAATTAACTCCCCTAGTAGAACTCTCCAGTCTCCTTGCCACCTGCCAGTCAAGGTCAAGGTCGTTGTCATGGTGACCAGGGCCTGATCCCACACAGTGCCCGCAGTCACACTCAAACTCGTCGTCTGCTTGACAACTGTCAGAACTGAGGCTAGAAAATAGGTCAGGAACCATCTCAGAACCTTCACTGGACGTCTGTATAACAAAATAAACGAAATTATTGACAATCTAAAGTATGATTGATATGATCAAGAAACGCTCCTTACCAAACACTTGTAAAAAAAAAAATTGATTCATACACAAATTTTCAAAACAATATGTATTTTCTTTCTTGTATTCATATTAGATTTTATTCCAACTTTAAAATATCTACAAATTAGGTGATGATATTTTGAATGCTAATTAAATAAATATTGCCTTGCAAATTCCTTATGAATATGTACATGGTATGTAAACATGGTAAAGACAATGATACCTTAATTGGTACATACAAATCATGTAGTGTATAAAACTTTTATAATTTTTGCCAAATTTATGAAAAGTTTTCCAATCACATTGATTAAATTTCTCTCTAACAATGATATCCTAAGCATGAATTCCTTCACACAAACATGACAAACCTCATCTCGTTCCTCCAGGAAGTGACCGAGTAGGTCAATCTTTTCCACGTCCTCGGCGATCCTACTGACAGACTCCTCAACCTGCTCCTCCTCAGACGTGATGGTCCCAAATATACTGTCCTCAGACAGAACCCCGCTGTAACTGTCCTCAATGTCCTCAGAGTGGTGGTCCTCAGAAACGCCTGCTCTAGCCTGATCATTAGAATTGTCAATATGACAATTATCGTACATTTCTCCATTTTGTTCACAACTACAACATTGTGAACCACTATCATGATAATCTGATTGAATCATGCCTGTATCATGATCATGGTGATTGTCTCCAAATTCTTGGTCTTGTTTTCTTTTTTCACAATGGTTGCTATGGTAATTGCAGCAGCCATGATGAAAATGACTATAACCCGTATTTTCCTTAAATCTGGCAGGGGATATTCTGCTCCATGATTGTGACTCATTGTTTACTTCAGTCAATCCTCCAGAACAAACTGTTTGTGATTCATTGTCATGGCAACATGCACCACTGTCCTCATGGCAACATGCACCATCCTCGTGGTAGTCTTGGCAACATAAAGGTAGATGTTTGTTGTCAAGACCAGGATTTTCCTCCAAAACAAAACTTCCACTATCACTGCTGTCATAGTCACAGTGGTCAGTTTCCTGATCCTTGCTACTCTTTGTGGCACCTATCAGTATAATTACAGAAAATGTTTATATAAGATGTAGAGGTTTTAAAACATACGAAAATGTTTCTTTTTCAACATGTGTTCGAAGGTAAAGTTGTGTAGTACATGTACATCATTTTACATTTTTACATCACAGTGACTCAGTGTGTATCTCAGTATGGTGAACAAGGAATCTAATCTTACCCCATGTCTGATAAAAGAATTTGAATATGAAAAAAAAAAAATCTTATCTCAAAACATTAGATTTAAAACTAAAAAAAATTCCTCTGTCTTCACAATGACTAGGCATATTACTGGTATATGATGTCATACCTATTTCTTTTGGCTCTGATTGACATCTCAGTCTGCTAAACAAGCTAGATTTCAGTTTATCAGACAGAAATGGAATGGCATAATGCAGCCCTGAAATAAAATCACATGTCTGGCTGGTACCCTGTTCCTGAATGGTACCCGCCTCTGAACTCTGCGGTTCGTTAGATTCTGCTGACCTAAGATTAGGTCTCTGTGTTTTTGAATCTCTGCGGTTCTTTGGCTGTATGGCTGAAGATTTTATTTTGTTTTCATTTAAATTGTTACTATATTTAGCACTACACAAGTCATGAAGTAAGGAAGATAACTCTGGATACTCTGTTTGGGTTGTCTCCCCTTCATCTTCATCTTCCCCGTTTTCTTTGTCATATTCGCATGCTTCTGATGATGAACATGGAACTGTAAGAGTTCTGCCAGACTTTACATTGGAATTAAAGCTACATTTTGATTGGTTAGATCCACTCCTTGGTTTTCGCTTAAGTTCTGCTTTTATGTGTTTTCCATCAAACTGACATTCACATGAATCAGAATCAGATACGAGTTTTTTAGCATCTTTTTTCTTCACTTTTTGAGCATTTTCAAAAATTCTGTGAGGACTTTGTTCGTGTTTTGAATGGTTTTCTTCTTTATTTTCATCCATATCTGTCAACAGTAAGGATAAATTTATCCATTCATGAAACAAATCATTAAAATAAAATACAAATCCTGAGTCACATTTAGCAAAAAAGTAGGCCTGGCCCTATCAAAAAATACGAAAGCATACCAATCTTTCAGTGATATAGCATTCTTTCGACAAAAACCCTCCCTTTACCAAAACATTAATGTTTTAACATTCAAAATACTTGTTAGGCCCCCCTACTTACGGTTTTATGTTCCACACTGACCACAGTTCTTCTTCGTCTTCTTGTTGACGATCCTACAGAATGTCGAACCCGACTTATATCTACATTGTAACTCTCTCCTGTTATATAGAGCTCTGTACAGATCTGTAGAGTTATGGCTTTATATATATTTGTCTTTGAAGATATATATATATATATATATATATATAAAACCATGAAGCTACAGATCTGCAGTTACTTCCGTTACTGTTAGTTGTAATTTTAATGAATTATAGAGATAACGAGTTAATTATCTCATTATAACGAAATAATAAGTTGCCCGTTTAGCAGACCATAGGAATTAAAAGGGTGGTTTTTAATGCCATTGAATTTTAGTTAGTTACAATATGGTTTAATTAAATATGATTAATCCTAAAGTATTTTGCTGTCCAATTTACACATTTATACGCGAACGTCTCCAAGGACCCAATATTACAAAAAATAAAATAAAAATAGAAAATGCATTGCCACATAAGTGCTTGCTTCAAAGTTTGGCAATTTATAAATAACAATTTTCTCCGATGAAAGACAATACATTTGTATTTTTTGATATGTTTTGGATGATTTATTAGCTTTTAGCTTTCATAATCAATGTAACATCGTTTTGAAAGTGGGGAGGGGGGGGGGGGGGGGGCCAGAGATTTTTTTACTTGCTTGAAAAAGTTGACAAGCCAAAAAAAAAAAAAAAAAAAAAAAGGAAAAAAAAGGAAAATTGCCCAAACTCAAAAATCCTATTTCGGGGAGGGGGGGGGGGGTGTTAGAGGCCTACTTTTCCAATGCCAATTTAAGTTCTTTCAGCAGCAATTTTATGGTATTCAGCACTACATTTCCCTCATATCAATTTCCTGTAGTAGATGGGGGGGGGGGGGGCAACCAGCCTTTCACTGAACATTTCTATAATAGTTAAAGTAATGTTGGGAAAAAATGGGGGCAGGTCCCCCTGCCCCCCCCCCCCCCCCCTGTTGCTAGGTGCCTGATAAGTAGAAGGACGGTCAGAAAGCTAGAGGCAAAACTATATACCCCCGAATATGATTATGGGGGCATTAAAATATCCCTCACTACTCAATGGTGAAGTAATTGCCTATTGTAAGATTTAAAAGTCCATTGAAACAATGCACTGTTTTGGTATCCAATGTTTTTTTTCGATTTCTACAAACTCTTTATTATGTTACATAGGTTTAGGAGTCTGCTTTGTGCGACACCGGTAACCTTGTCATGGGCATCGGAAGCAAATTCAAAGGGCGGAGGGGGCTAATCGAACGTGTGTGTGTGTGTGTGAGGGTGTGTGTGTGTGTGTGTGGAGGAGGGGGGGGGGGCTAAGGCAACAAAAAAGTTAAATTCCACTTTTCAATGCCTATATAATGCCTATTTTTGCTATAACCCTCCCCCTTGTTCCGACGCCTATGCTTGTAACAATTATCCATATCCACATTTTGGAAAGCTTTTTGATTAGATGACCGTATTGCTTAATCAAATGTTCGAAACTTTCCCCCGAAGCATGATCAGGGCCTGTTATGGGGTGAACAGTTGCTCAGATTACGAGAATGGCCTAACGGTCAATCATTTAACACTGTCCATTCAAAAACGTGGAAATCTATGGCTAGTAGAGTAGAACTATGCAACAAATAAAGGTTACATGTAGGTTTTTATGAAATGAGACATACCAGGTAAAACAATGAAGGAGTCATATCATATAAATAATTTTATGAATAACATTTAAAATGCAACAACGATGCTTGAACAGGAATAGAATTAATTTCAGTAAACTCAATGCATACACTGGAAAGGGATAGTGAATGTTAAACCTACATGTATATTAACATACTTGGTGAAGTAAATATTTTTATAGACCTCGTACCTGTATATGGATAATTTAGAGCACAAGCGGCACATTTACTTTTCTTAAGGGTCAAACAAATAGTATTCAATTAAATATAAAAACTATTATAAATTGATCGACGCAGTGATATAATCGAGTAGTCGGAGAAATTATTTTCTTGTTATGAAGTTATCGCCCTTGTAATCTTAAATTACATTTATTTTTTGTATAAATTAAGAATTATGCTAAATACATTTTAAAGTAAAAAGATCAAGAATAAACAATTTATAATTTCTTTTAATATAACGATAAGAATTTTCTCTTTGTAGTGGATAAGAACTATTTACATTGTAAGAGAGGGGAGAGAGCAAGTGGGAGATGGAGTGAGAGACTGGGGAAAGAGGGAGTGTGGGTGGGGAGAGTGAGATTGACATTAGATTTGACTCTGAAGTTCGCATTTCCACAAAAAATCGAGGACATATAATCTTTCATCGCTCACCTGAGAAGCTTTGACCATTCTTTTCTTTACCAGATTTCCCCCTTGTTATATATAATGCATCCCTCATGTTTGTGACGTCATTACGTACATATGGCGTCGTTACTTATGAAAATATTCAGTGCTTTGAAGTCAGCACATACTCCCCTGTTTAAGAACTTAATTAAGGTAGGTCGCGGGTTTGCTTTTGTCATCAATTTTGGTACACAATTTCGACGATTCGAGCGCCTATTTTGTGCACATTTGATTATGACGTCAGTTACGTCACAAAGACAACGTTGCGTTGTTTCCCGCTTAATTCTCTGCGAATGACTTCAAGTCTTTACGTATCAAGTAGATTAAAACAAAGTGCATGCTATTGTACGTAAACCTCATACATGTTTTATAATTAAATTTCAGTCTGAACTCTGATGTGATTATATGTAATGCCCTAGGAAAAATACAATACCGAATGAAAGGAATAATTTATAATGTATTACTAAACTGCTAAAAGTCAATCAGAATAAGTCAGCGTGAAAGTTATGGTATGCAGAAAGAAAGTTTTCATAAATAAAATTGTTTAACCGGAAAACTTGAGGGGTTGTATTTACGCACGTTATTTGCAACTCGGGGGAACATGCGTATTGCATCATGACTTCCAATCAAAGCCGGGGCGAAAATATGCGTATAATTTTCAGGATGGAATCAATCCTCAACACTAAAAACGCATTAAATTTAATACATGATGTATTTCCCTCTTTTTTTCATTTTCTTATCATCATTATTATTAAGTATTGTTTTGTTATTATGTATTTAAATCTCATGTAGTCGCCTTGTTCTACTAGCTAATAAATTGTGAAATGCATTCAAAATCCAAATTTATACAAACACCTGGCCCCGGGATCATGAAACAAACTTAGACTTACGTCAAAATTCCAATCTTCTGTAAAATATTTATTATTTATTGAATAATTCTCTAATTTTGCAAATAACAACTCTTTTGTTAGACAATATTGGGAAACAGTTTGATTTTGGCTTGTTTGACTTCCACAACATTTATTTTTAGTACAACAGAAAAATGTCTTATGCTTAAGATGCTTCATGATCCCTGGGCCTGAACTGTAAGACCTATATAACACTGTAAACAATTTACAAATATCTTTTTTTCTATAATTAAAAGTTTTAAAACAAAAGCTCTAGTCTTAGTGTAAAAGCTCAATGCAAGTATATGTATTTCACATTTTGTGTATGGAAATTTGATTAAGAGAATTCGAAATTAACAAATGTTTAAGAGGTAGGCCCATATACTAGCTTGCGTCTAATGTAGAAAGAAAAATGCAAGTAACATCCCCCCCCCCTCCGGCCAATTTCCCCAGTATCTGGAAGTGTTTTCTTTACCGTTTTTTTTTAATAAAGCGATCAAATTTATGTGTTATGCCTGAAATCCTTTTCACCATGAATTTCCCAAAAATACAGGGACTAATATTTTATCACTCGCGGTGTTGTCGCTGCATGTTCATTCTCATGCACGAGGAATGTTTATATCGTTCATTCTGACTCTGTGATCAGAATATGAATTTCACTAGTGAAAATAAGTTGCTGGTCATCCTAATATATTTTCGCGATAAGTTAAATGATAAATAAAATTAAATTTCGCGTCTATGACCTTTTTTAGATCTTGCATATTCTAAATGTCAAAATATTTATATTCGTAAGGTAAACGTTACTTCTTTCAACAAATGACGTTGTAGACATAAATAACGCCATTAATGCAACATTTCAGCAATATAAAAGGAAACTTTGAAATTATTTAGCGAAAAATCTAGCGAGAAGACATATTGATTTTTTTATATCATAGTTTTGATTTTACCTCATCTTGACATTTTGAAATTCCTGACTAATTCGTCTACGTCTTTAAAAAGTTATCCAACCTTTTTAAAAGAAACTATTTTCACAAAATTGGCTTAAAAACGTCATTTTCCATATATTTCAACAGTAAAGCGTAAAAAATGTACTAATAATAATACCGCGTTTATAGTTATATAGCATTAAAACTATGTAGGCAAATTTTATAAAAATTGCAGATAATACGCTGTAAATTCTGAGGAACATTATATCAAATTTTCAGGATATGTTTTCTCGTAAGAATTTTTATGCAGTAAACCCGCGACCTACCTTAAATATATCTCCATCAAAGTTTGATTGGGGGGGGGGGGGGGGGCAAATATTGGTTATTACCGAATAAAGTTCTTTTTCAAAGTGTCAAAGTTTTCGATAAAGTTTTTCAAAGTGTCAAAGTTTTCGCCAAATGTTATCAAAGAGTCAAAAATTTTTAATAAACTTTTTTAAATTGTTAAAGTTTTCAATGAAGTTTTTCAAAGTGCCAAATTTTTTGATAAAGCTTTTCAAAGAGTCAAAGTCTTCGATAAAGTTTTTAAAAGTGTCAAAGTTTTCCCCAAAGTTTT